GACTCAGAAGACTCAACTGGGACAGGAAGAGCAAGAGCAAACATCTGTGACAAATCCTCTCCCTTTGGACAATGTCTCTCGAGAGAAGAACCATAAAAGGAAGAAAACTCATCAAAGGTGACATCCATTGAGACATACTGAGTGCCAGTCTTCGGATCAAAACAACAATAATCCTTTTGTGTGGGGGAATAAACAAGGAAGATACATTTGTGGGCTTTTGGTTCAAATTTATGTCTCTGGACACTTGGGATATGTACATAACAAGTGCAACCAAAGACACGAAGAGAAATAGGAAAAAAATCCTTGTCCGGATGAAGAAGACTGAAGGGAGACTTAAACCCTAAAACCCTGTATGGCATACGGTTTATAAGGTAGATAGCAGTGAGAACAACATCACCCCAAAATTTTGTAGGGACATGTGAGGCAAATAGAATACTTCTTGCAACTTCAACAATATGTCTATTTTTTATTTCAACAACTCCATTCTGTTCTGGTGTCCTAACACATGAGCTTTGATGAATAACCTCTAAATCAGTGAGATAACAAGTCAGGTTTTTCTCAAAATATTCTTTTGCATTGTCGGATCTAAAAATTTTAATTCTGGTATCAAACTGGGTTAGGACAAGTTCATGGAATTGCCTCACAAGTCTGGGAACTTCATCACGGGACTTCATCAAAAATATCCAAGTGAATCGAGAAAAGTCATCAATGAACAAGATAAAATATTTGTAGCCGCCCATAGAAGGTAAGTGGTAAGGCCCCCACACATCAGAGTGCACATCAGAGTGCACAATATTACACAATAGTTTAATGACTTAGTTAGGCTACTTACAGATAACAAGTTTGTATTTAGTCTGGGTACATGAAGAGCAGAAGAAAGAACCAAGGAGTCTGTAGCCTTAATGGTTCCCTTGCCGGAGATAGGGGCAAGAGAGCCATCGGCTAGGGTGATTTTGTCACATCCAAAAAGTATATCATATGAAACAAACAAAGTAGAAAGGCTGGTCATATGATCAGAAGCACCAAAATCAATAATCCAAGGGATCCTACGATTACCTGAAATGGTTGTATGATTGGCAGAAGCCCGTATACATGAATGAGCAAATGTAGAAGAGGTTGAATTTCCTGGAGGGTTGGAACAAGAGGTCACACCCTCTAGGTGACTGATCATCCTCCCAAACTTCTAATATTCTGCCTTCATAGCTACTAACTACTCACTAGTCGTCATCTCTTCAGTTTGGTATCTGTCACTATCTGGACCAACAGCAACATTGGCACTCCCTACCTTTATATCAGGCTTCTTCTTAAACCGAAGTGGTATGAGCTTAGGATGCAATTTCCAACACTTGTCTTTAGTGTGTTTTGGCTTTTTACAGTGCTCACAGATAATCTCTTTCTTCCCTGAGCTACTTGGAGTCCCTGCAACCCCCTTGGGTTTCACTCCCATATTAGCAAAGTGATCATTTAGACCAGCCCCTTGGGCCTGGACAAGTCTTTTGCTTTCTTCACTACTTACCAAGGCATATGCTTGAGACAGTGAGACACTATCCTTGGATAAAATATTTTGCTTTGTAATGTTGTACTCTAGATTTAGCATTGTCAATAACTCAAACACCCTGTTTCTCTCAACCAGTTTTCTATAAGTCTCAGCATCTTTAGTGGTATGCTGTGAAGTGGTTTGAAGGAACCGCTCATACTCATCACGCGGTACACTCACCATCTCCCTCCAAGAAGCAGATGTAGATGTGGAAGGAGTTAGGTCTTCCTGTATACTGTCACTGATATCAACCTCACCAGTTACAGCATGATTAGCCCATTTAGAGGGAGGGCCATGTAGATCATAACAGAAATTCACCGTGTGTCMTTCCCTGCCACAATGAGTACACTTCCTTGCAGAGTTACTCTTTCCTTTGCCACGGCCTCCCCCTAAGTCACGACCACCACCCCGGCCAAACATGGAACTGCCACGGCCTCCTCGGGAGGCATGTGCTCCCCCTCTTGTACCATGTCCAGTTCCTCTACATGTCACAAGTGTTGATCTATCAGAATGTGTGGGATTCTCTATCTGTCCCAAAGAAATCCTACGAAGTCGTGCAAATACTTCCTTCACATATTATATTTATGTATTTTAATTTTAGATAATAGGTTTTTTAAAGCATCTATTTTAAAACTTAAGTTTACATTTTTATTAATATTATGTTTTATAATTTTTTTGAGTTTTTTGCATTTTTTTATTTTTTTGAATTTTTAACTTTTTTTAAATTGTGCGCTTGCCTCAAAAAGGCACACGCCTCACAATGGCCCTTGTGCCTTGCGCTTTTAAAACACTGGGATAATTTGGTCCATCTGGACCAAGAGGAATAGAAGGATTTTCAATAACAAGACTCTAAGTCCCGAAGAGTTCATTCAGAAATCAGTGGGCAAGCTGATTTCTTGGGTGTCTGTGGCTGCGGATTTTAGAAACTGTAATGTGTCAGATGTATTTCTTTCTAGCTCTTGATGGAAAGTGTATTTTCTGATTTGATCAGTCAGCCTGTTCTGGGACTGATCTCAGCCTCCTGTGTGTAATTTCTTATCAATAAATATTACTTTACCTTTTCCAAAAAAACAAAAGGTATTAGGGAACTTAATTCAGAAAAATACAACCTTATTGGGGAAGTGGTTGTGATTGTGGCATGAGGTGATCGGAAGTATACATGGATGCTCAAAGAATAGATGGGATGCTGCTGTATCAAGGCGAGCAACTTCGGCAACTCCTTAGAAAGGTTGTGCACAATAATCTCCCTCAGTTCCTCAGTTATATCAAGTATGATGTGTGTAATGGAAACTCTGTCCTCTTTTGGGAGGACATTTGGGTTGGAGATGTCCCCCCTGAAGATCCTTTTCCCCTCCTTGTTCTTCATTTCGTGGTACAAAAAGGAAGTTGTTTCCAAATTTTGTTCATCATTGGAAACCCCTTGGGCTCCTACTTGGGATTTCGGGTTTTGTAGAGGTTTAAGGGATGAGGAGATGGAGTGCTTAGTCAGTTTACTGTGCCTTCTTGAGAAAGTTTGTTTGAACCCCTCTGAACCTGACAAAAGAATTTGGACACCTCAATCGAAAGGATCCTTGTGCTTCTTTTTTCAAATCCATTTGTTGTTCTTTCCCTCACCCGGCCTTCCCTGTTAAGGAAGTTTGGTGCAGACCTGTTCCCCCTAAGATTATGGCTTTTTTGCTGGGAAGTGTACTATGCGAAAGTAAATACCTTGGACAATCTACAAAAGCGAAGACCTTTTTCTCTGTATTTCCCCCAACTGGTGCATCCTTTGCAGATCTCAGAGTGAGGACTGTTATCATTTACTAATTTCTTGTTCCTTAACTGCAGAGTAATGGGATTGGCTCCTCTCTTTGTTTGGGAGCAGTTGGAACTTGCCAACAGATTTAAGATTGCTTTTTGATCCCTCTACTTTTGTCTGGCAACAGAAAAGGGGTAAAATCATGTGGAGGTGTGCAAGAGCTGCATTGAAACGGACAATTTGGGAAGAAAGGAATGTTAGAACTTTCCTGGAGAAGGAAAGAAACCTTCAAGAGATTAAGGACTGTGTCTTGTTTAGGGTGATTCATTGGCTGAAATCTTTGGACTTGCTCCACCAATTCTCCTTTAATGACATTTGGAGGAATTGGGCAGCAGTGGCAATTTGTTCCTCTTCCAAGATTAAAGTAAGAACAAGCTGGTCATCACCTCCTGCTGGGTTCTTGAAGTTGAATTTTGACGGAAGCAGTCTAGGAAACCCAGGCCCCTCTAGGTTAGGTGGGGTATTGAAAAGGAAGTCGGGAATGTGATACTTATCTTCTCAGGTCCTCTAGGAGTGGGAGACTCTACTAGAGCAGAACTGTTTGCTGCCTTGCAAGGTGTACAGTTTGCAGCTCAATTAGGGGTGGAACAGCTAATAGTTGAAGGTGACTCCAAGGTTGTAATAAGCTGGTTGCAGAACCCAGAGTCGGTATTTTGGTGTTTCAGGAGTTTAAGTTGCTGACAAGAAACATGGACCTAAGAATATAATGGGTGGAGAGATCAGCAAATGCTATGGCGGACTGTCTAGCAAGCAAGGGACAGCTAGGGAACTTTTGTATTGGGCACAATTGTAACTTGTTTTTGTTTTCTTCTTTAGTGGAGAGTTTGCAGCTTGCACCTCTCCAAGGGCTGCTTGTATGTGCTAATATTTCCAAATTAATAAAAGGTTCTATTTATTTATCAAAATAAAATTGGATGGGATCACTCATTTATCAAAAAAAAAAATGGATGGGATCCAGGAACTTCAAATCAGTCCTATGGATGCTCAGTTTGGAAAGGTATTGAAAAGACTTATCATTGGTTTGCAAAAGGTGTAAAGTTCAAGGTAGGAAATGGGGAGAGGGTCAATTTTTTGAAGGATGTTTGGTGTGGGGATAGGCCTTTGAATGAGAAGCTCCCTGCCTTGTTTGAATTGCTGAAAGCTTGCAAATCCAAGATGGTAGCATGGTTTGGATCCCACAATTCAGGAGGAATCTAAATGATTGGGAAGTGGAGTGGATGGAACTACTGCAGCTCCTTTACAGAACAAAGTTGGAGTCAGCAAGAGCTTATAGTAGAATCTGGAAGTGGGAGAAGACTAGAAATATCTTCTCATTGTCCAAACAAGGTGGTAGCTCTCACTAATCCTCTAAAGAATAATATTGAAAGTTGAAACCAAAGTCATAGCACCTGAATCTGATCCATCAGAAGAAAATGTTATCCATGGCTGGTATTACAAACTTTATATATTACTCATCCAATTGTTGGGAATGAAGACTAGAAGCATAGTGCTATTTCCCATACACATGTACTAAATATTTTTCTTTTATCCAACAAGCAATAAAGCAAGCAGGTATTATGAGAAAGTGAAAAATAAACCAGCATAAGAAGAATTATCCTCTAATCAAGTCCATGTGAGCATTCAAACATATTTAGTGAAGTTCCATACTTCCATTCATGGACTTACATGGTTAATGCTAGACATGTCTCCCTTAGTAAGCTTCACCATGTCTGCAATTTTAAGCACAATGCTTTTCATAAATAAGTATGAGACATTGCCTACAAAACAAAAACAAGTATGAGATATTACTTACAAAACAATTTGCAAACTAGTCAGCAAATCCAAAGTGTCAATTATAACCACATCTAAAATATATACTTGCAAACTCAAACTTATACTGATAGTCCGGCAAGCACATAGACATATAAACCAATATATACAACTCTTAACCTTCACTTTGGTTATGAGCAAAACAAAAACACCTTCAACAACCAATCTTGGAATCTAAACAGAAAAGATTTCCAAGTTGTCCCATAAAGACCAACTCTCTCCCTCTATCGCCTTCTGGTTGAAAGGCGAGGGGGAAATAATCGAGTCAATGACAGTACACTAAGTGTAGGAGGGTAGTGTGTGGCACTAGGGGTATCTACCTAAAGGACAGTAGATGGTGGCGGTGGTGTTCTCCAAGAGGTTGAGAACGAGAGTGAGTACAAAAGGGTGAGGGAAGGTAGAGTTTTCCAAAGGGCAGAGCTCACAAAAGGTTCATGTAATGGATCAGCGTGGGGATCTTCGGAGGTCCCCTATTTATAAAGATACCCTTGGGGAAAGGAGGGAAGTTTTCCCACTTTGGAAAGGCAATCCCAAGTTTGTTGGATCTGTGATTTGTAAGTAGGTTGGGGTTTTTCCACGTGTCCATGCAGTTATGCCGGTGCAAAAGATCTCTTTCCTCCCAAAGTCCGCATGTGAGCACGAGTGCAGCTAGTCCCCTTCTAGAAGCATGACCCTATGCAGCACTGGAGACGTTACATCCAAAAACGTCTAAGTGTTGATGGAGCTATAGGATATAGGGTATAGGATCAATACACAGGTGTGAGGCTGGGAAATAGGCTTGCGATGGGGGGAGACGGTTCACATCACGAGGTCATGATGGCCTACAATGCGAAGCCGGAATGCTATAGCGCACTACATAATCATTACTACGGCATGAACCATCTGAGGCGAAGCTAGAATGCATAGTGTGTCACTACAAAGTCTTTCTGTGCTAGGACCTAGGGGAAGGCAATGAGTGTGCCCCTATTAGGCAGATGTGTTGGAACTGAGTATTGCTATTTTAATGTTTCACCGTGCTGCCATTATTTATGTGTTGGTCACTGGTGTGGACTCACCATAGGTCATTTATCGCACGTGATGCGATATCAAAATCCATGTACCTACACCAAGTATAAATATGTTGAATAATAACCTGAGACAATGGTGACCCTAGTAGAGTGGTTGCCTATTCAACCCCCCCCCCCCCCCCCCCTAAAAAAAAACAAAAACAAACAAGGTTATCAACCAGTGAATTGGCATAAATGATCTTCCTATAGCTACACATGAGATTTTTCCATGTGGCCATTTGATGGTAATAGGGAATCAAAGATTTTATTGGAATTTTAATCATTTATGATGGTCTGGAAGGAGAGATAATAGGTGCATATTTTAATGGCAAGTCTAAAGGTGTAATACGATTTTGTGAGGATATCTGTTCTATTCTCTGGAGTCTTGGACCATCGCTCGCCCAGAATTGGAAGATCTTTATAGAGCTCTTCTGCCACAGATTTTTGGACAAGTCTAGACTAAGTGGATGAGGATGTATAGCTCATGTGCATTTTGTAGTCAACCAAATTTTCTTATAGGTGGTCATTTCTAGCCCAACCTAGCCCACAAACTTCTGGCTTGGGCCTAGGTTATGTGTCCGGCCTCAGCTTGGACCTGGGCCCAATCAGGCCCAAAAATAAGTGGGCCAGACCTGGGCCAAATAGTTTAGGCCCAATCCATCCCTAAACATAGTTGCCAATGTGACACCTATGCAATAAGGTGCCCTACAGCCCCACCTTTTCTTTTCTTCTTTTCCTAGGACAAAAATAGGGCTCAGCCCCTAGATCTTCTTAACTTTCTTTTTCTTTCATCTTTTTCTTCTCATGGATATGTTGATTTTTTAAGTTTTAATACAAAGCTTATACTTTCTTATGAAGGTTATAGAGAACTACAAATGAAAGATGGTTGCCAGTTGCTGTTGAACCTAGGGAGTTACCCTAGGGGATTCATGATTTTTATTTAAGAAAGTCATCACCTAGGCAACTATGCAACAAGGCACCCCCCCCTGTCACCTAGCCGTGCCGTGGCGCCTTGAAATGGAATCAGGTGGATGACTAGGGACATTGACATGAGAATTAGATGGGTATAGAGAGCTGCCAATAGCATGGCAAATGGTCTAACAAGGCAAGGGGTGGGAACAGATCTCTGAAAAAAGATCTTTGGAGGAAATGATAGACAGCATAAAACTAAAGGTAGCTTTGTGGATAAAGACATTGGATTGCTTCCAAAATTTTTCTATCACTGATATTTTAAGGGCCTGGACTGAGGTAGAACACTCATCAAGAGTTAAAGATAGAATGCTAATGGAGTTGAAGCCTCCAGAAGGTAACAAAGTCAAGCTAAATTTTGATGGGAGCTCCCTTGGAAATCCAGGAATGGCAGGAACAGGACAGGTAATCAGAAATTCAGAGAGAATGATATTGGCCTTATATTCAGGACTGATTGGCAAGGGAAACTCCTTGAAATCTGAACTGTTGGCCTTACTACAAGGGCTCAAATTAGCTAAGCAGTTGGGATTCAAATTGATTGAGGTTGAAGAGGACTCAAAAGTAGTTGTCTCTTGGGTAAACACAAATAGGCATATCCCTTGGACTCTTAGACATGTGATAAGAGAAGTGGAACAGGTTGCAAAGAACATAGGGGCAGAATTTTAAGTGGATCAGAAGGACTGAAAATAAGTTTGCTGACTCCCTTGCTAAACAAGGAGTTACAAGACAACATTTGTTCTGGGCTTCTATGTAACTTGGGTGTTGGATCTGAAGAAAGGGATTAACATTTCAGTATTCATGTTGTACTAAGCACATTTTTTCTATTTAATATAATAAAACTAATTTTCTGTTGATCAAAAAAAGGCAGGAAGAGAATCAAGAGATCAAATGTTTTGGACACAAATTATCGGTCAAAAAAAATGCTTTGGACACAAATGTAAGTGAAAGAAAGGAGAGAGAAGGTAGAAGAGTGAACATACATTTTATTGTTTTATAATTAACAAAATTGAAGGTTACTAATCAAAAAATAAAGGACCCAGTTATCTGGGGTCTTAGGAGGGGTAGATTGGAAATGGAACTAACCTTAAGCGTTTTTAGCACAAAGTAGCTCAACCCCTAACCTATGCGATAATGTGGCCTCCTAGGGTAGTTCCCTAGGTTCAATCATATTTCCTTAATAAATATCAATAATTTTCATAAGAAAAGTACAAACTTCATGTTAAAGTATAGAAACTCAACATATTCATGAGAAGAAAAAGAAGAAAGAAAAGAAAATTCAAAAAATATAGGGGCTGAACCCCTGTTTCTGTTATAGGAAAAGAAGAAAAGAAAAGGTGGAAGAAAAAGAATTTAGTATATAAACACAAAATTAGTAAAGAAAAATAAGAAAATGTGTTGATTGGACAACATTTTATGTTCTTCCTTACTGGTTCAGGTTTTCAAGTCTTTGAGGGTTCAATACAGCATTTAGAAATGTTTGTGCTGATTAACCCCTAACAAATAAGAAAATAATAAAAAGTAATTAGTATATAAACACACAAAATGAATATTTTAGCTTAAAAATGTCTATTTTATAATTATAACCTCAAAAAATCAAGAAAATAGAAGTTTTTTATAACACGCTATAGAAAACTGCTTGGCAATTTGGCGAGGCGAGCCTCCAAGGGCGCCTTGTCGCCTAGGCGTCGCCTTTAAAACTATGGTGGCTACTCTCACTCAAAACTCATGTTCTCATGCTAGTCAGCCTACGATTTCACCATTATACTAAGCAATGGCCCCTAGGTAACAGGTAGTAGCAAATCAATAATAGAAACTAGGTAAACTTCACTGAACAAAAACATTAATCTAGAAAACTATGTCACACTGAAACACTCAATCAATAAATTCATAAGATATTAAGGCTCCGTTACGAAGAGTGTAAACACCGGTGTTTGAAGGGGTATTGGGCTCAGCCATAATCTTTTTTAGTGTTTGAAGGGTTGGAGAGGTCGCAGCTTGTGCCTCTCCAAGTGTCTTCTGTAAAAGTTGCTCCTGATTTCTTTCTCTAATAAATTCTTCATTTATCAAAAAAAAAGTGTAAACACTGGTTCGAGACATATATGCTCTGGTTCAGTTTTGCAGGCATTTGGTAAGAATACATGTGTAGTGAAAATGACAGTCATCACTCATCACAAATTCCAAGACATGTTTGCATTCAAAAAACGTAGATTCCAGTCTTAGAATTCATGTTTGTACCCATCACAACCAAAACCATTTGGTAAGAACACCAATTTATCTCCTTTTACTGAACAATAAAAAGGCCAAATTTATCAATACAAAACTAAACCATCTTTGCATTTTCATGAACCAGCGTATTTGTATTTGCACTCTTCCCAAGGGCAGCCCAGTACATGAGACTCCTGCCTATGTGGGCTCTGGGGAGGGACAGATGTACACAGCCTTACCCCTAAACATAAAGAGAGGCTGCTTCCAAGGTATTTGCACTCTTCCTAAATGGAGACTAAATAGCACAAAATTGTTAATGAAAAAAATTAAATAGCACAAAATCTAATCTTCAAAGTCACAAGCCCCCATTACCAAAATGTCATATACCCACATGCATTACAATCTTTATTTAGATATACTTTACCCGCAGCAGTAACTTCTTAACAACAAATTTTCAATGTCTAGGGATGCAAAGGCGTACCAAGTTTGAGTAGCAAATCTGAAATGACAGCCAACATATGCTTATTTGGAACCACCCCGGCAGTAGTGAGCATGTTCTCAAATACATTACAAATAGAAGAGATGACTACAGATTCAGTGGTATCCCTTAGTTTATCCTCATATGTTTCATTTTCACTGGTCAATAAAGTCATTTGATTGAGAAGGTGGCTGATCAACTCTTTCAAGATACCTGCAGCCTGTGATGCTGTACTAGCCTCAGAAACTAGAAGACCTGCAAATATGGTAAAGGGATCAGTATAAATATATATTTGCTGATCAAAAAAAATCAGTATACATATATATTTTTCCTTTGCTTTTTTTTATAAGTAAAAGATTCTTTAAAATTTCATTAAATCAGAAAAAAAATAAGCAACTGTTACAAGCTTCCCCAATGGAGGCACGAGATGCAGCCTCACTCATAAAGAAAACACAGCACAAAAATTACAACTAAGCCCAAAACAATTGATCCCTAGTTACCCCTTGCTTAGCTAATGAATCAGCCATAGCACTTGCCTCCCTTCCCACCCAGTATAATTAAGCTCATCTGTTGTGTTAACCATTTGAATTTCTTCATTTCATTTCAATAGCACCATATCACTGAATCCGGGTCTTTTAACCAGCCCACCACCACCTTGGAATCCCCTTTAATCACCAGGTCTTCCAAGTCCATCCCTTTTAGAATCTGGACACCTTGTAGGACTGCAAACAGTTCAGCCCTTGTAGAGTCTCCATTCCCCACCGGTCCTGAAAAAAGTGCCATGAGATTTCCTTCCCTATCTCTTATGACTCCTCCAATTCCAGACAGACCTGGATTGACTTGGCTACTTCCATCAAAATTTAATTTCAAGAGGTGCCCATAAAAACCTTGTTTTTGTCTTCTGTACTGAACTAGAAGCCACTGATAACCAGTTCCTCCAAATACCATCGAAGGAGAACTGTCTAAAGAGATCCAAAGTTAGTAGCAAATGTGTAACTCTGGTCAAGATACAATCCATAATTTCTTGCTTGCTTCTCGGGTTCTCTTGGAAGATCCTAGCATTTCTTCCCTCCCATAAGGTCCAAATCACTGCTGTTCTGGTGCATTTCCACATTATTCTTCCCCCTCTTTTTGGCCACACAAAGGTAGCTGGATCAAACAAAGAAAACCTATGCATGTATCATGGTAGGATACAAAAATTATTAATATTTCAATATATGAAATGTTACCCAAGCTTCCAAAAAAGTGCAATATTTACATAATAATAACTGCAAAAAAAGAGAAGTTGATCCACAGCCAATCCCAAGTATATTCTATAAAATCAAAAATAAAGATGCATCCATTATAAAGGGAAAAAGACAATGTAGCATAGTCTTGAAGATTCAGACAAATTGGAAAAAAAAAGGATCCTAACATAGAAGCAAGGTTCAATATGAACCAAAAATCTTACCCAAACACAGCTTTTTTCAAATCTTGAGATTCAGGATTGACCACCATTCATTTTTTTCTTTTTTGTAAAAGGTAAGGTATTTTATTAAATCACATAACAGTACAAAGGAGCCTAGGCCAGTAGAGGCTGCCTAGAGCCACCTCAGATTACAAATGCATCCAAGACTGAGAACTAAACAACAATCGGATGTTCTGATTTTTAAATTCCTCCATTACCGACACCCGAGACAGTAATTTTCCCACAGCTTTCTGCACCATTTCCTCTGGAGATTTAGCTTTACCCTGAAAAATTCTGTTGTTTCTTTCAATCCAGATAGTCCAAATCACCGCAGMCGGAATAGTGTTCCAAACCAAGGTTCCTTTCTTGCTGAGACCCTCAATTCTCCAACAATACAGCAGTTCCTTCACAGAATTTGGCATTACCCAACTGACTTCCAAGGCCTGAAGGAAATGCCTCCAAATATAAATYGAAACTGGGCAATGCAAAGAAAGATGCTCAATAGTTTCTGCTGACCCACCACACAAGCCACATGACATGTCCAGAATCTGAATGCCACGTTTCATTAGATTAACTCTGGTTAGACAGTTATTTAAAGCCATTGTCCAGAGCAGAAACTTCACTTTAGAAGGACTAGTTGAGTTCCAAATTTGCCTAGCCGGAAAGTTCACATGACCTGAACTTATCAACTTACTGAACATAGACTTTACAGTGAACCAGCCATCAGCTTCCCATTTCCATCTCCAAGCATCCTCCTTGTTCAAGTCAACCCTCTGATTATGAAGCAAGCCCAACAGATCCGCATACTCTTCCACTTCCCAATCAAAGAGGCTCCTCCTACAAAGCAGATTCCAACTAATAGAATTAGCAGAAGCAATGAAAGTCTCAGCAACCGAGGAATCCTGATTTACAGAAATTTGATACAAGAGAGGAAAGGCATCTTTCAGACACACTTCAGAACACCAAGAATCTTTCCAAAATTTAATTCTTTCCCCATTTCCCAATTTATATCCGATTCCTTCCTCAAATAGAGTAGAGATCTTCAAGATACCTGTCCAAATGGAACTTATCCCTCATGCAATAGGACACTTGGATCTCCAATCACCCCAATCCACCCCATATTTATCCACAATAAGCTTTCTCCACCATGCATTTCTTTCATTTGCAAATCTCCAAAGCCATTTACACAGGAGGGCAGAGTGGAACTTCTTCAATTTTCTTATTCCCAACCCACCAACTTCCTTTGGAAGACACACTTGGTCCCAGTTTACAATATGAACCTTCTTCTCCTCCTCCCAACCTCTCCAAAGAAAGTTTCTCTGTATTTGCTCCAATCTATTTGCTACTTTGGATGGAATAGGGAAGAGGGAGAGGAAATAAGTAGGAAGATTAGAGAGAGTGCTCTTTATCAATGTAACTCTCCCCCCAAAATAAAGAAATTTAGCTTTCCAAGATGCCAATTTCCTCTCCATTCTCTCAATCACTGGAACCCAAGTCTTAAAGGAAGTACATTTAGCTCCAAGAGGAAGCCCCAAGTACTTGACCGGAAGATGGGCAGTCTGACAAACCATTACTTCTGCACAATCATCTAGATTTGTAACATGACCTACAGGGATGATCTGAGATTTACTCAAATTAACCTTGAGGCCAGACACCACCTCAAGCCAACTCAAAGTTCCAAGCACCACCTCCAGCTGACTTGGGGAAGCATCAACAAAACATAAAGTGTCGTCGGCAAATTGAAGAAAATTAACTTTTTCCTTGCCTAGCGCAATTGCAAAGCCATCCCAACGCCCATTCTCAACAGCCTTCTTGCTAAAAAGAATTAGAATTTCCATGACACAAATGAAAAGCAAGGGAGAGAGAGGGTCACCTTGCCTCAAACCTCTAAAGCTCCCAAAAAACCCCGTCGATTGCCCATTAATTAAAATGGAGAACTTAGGGGTCTTGACACAAACTCTGATCCAGTTTCTTCAATTCTGCCCAAAATTCATTTTCTCCAACACCAGGTCCAAGCAATGCCAGCTTACATGATCATAAGCTTTTTCAATATCAAGTTTACACATAACACCTGGGGTCCACTCTCTCCTTTTGGATTCCAGCAATTCATTAGCAATGATAATCGAGTCAACCATCTGTCCACCCGGGACAAAAGCACTTTGAATGCAAGAAATAACACTGCCTAACACACATTTCATCCTTTCTGCCAAGACTTTAGCCAAGATTTTGTAAAAATTGTGCAAGAGACTAATGGGCCTCAAATCCTTTATACTGACAGCCCCCTCAAGTTTTGGAATGAGAGTGATGAAAGTTGCATTCAGGCTTCTTTGAAATGAGGCATTAGTATGAAATGCCTGGAACACCAGCATCAGATCATTCTTCACAATATCCCAACATTTTAAATAAAATAGATTAGAAAACCCATCCGGACCCGGTGACTTTTCACTTTCCAGCTTCTTTACTGCATCCTTAATTTCCTCTTCAGTAAAAGGTCTCTCAATCCAGACTTTCTGCTCTTCATTTAATTTATTGAAAGGCAGCTCGGAGGGAAAAGGTCTTTGAACCCACCTCTCTTTATAAAGGTTCTTATAAAATGAAGTAGCCACAGATTTAACCTTAGAGCTAGATTCACCACTCCTGTCCTCCCACACCAACTTGCTGATTGAAGAGATCCTAGCACGAGCATTTGCCATTTTATGAAAAGTAAAAGATCAAGACTATAATCAGTCTTGAATCCTAATAGGTTTTAGGTTTGCAAAACAGAAGAAAAGTGAGAGAAAGGAGAGAGAATAGAAGAGAAACAAGAGAACACAAGTTGTTGAAAGAAGGGACAGAAAAACTAATCTGCCGCCGCCACTCTCTTAATATTTATAGGTTATGTTTAGTACATAATGGAAA